ACCCCTTTCTGCCTATATCATATATATAATGCATGTTCGCTCTTACATTAATTCCATTCTCAATGCTTTTTGTTTGTAATGTACCAGATTACAGCTGGAATGTATGTCTAGTAAATAAGCAATTAATAATAATGTTTTACTCCAAAATGAGTTGCTATTGTTAGGATCGCTGTTTTAATTTTATATGTGGTAGATATAATATTATCTAGATCAAAAACCTTTCGAATAATCTTTTTCTCTCTTGCGCTACACAATTTCGCAGTATTTATTAGCTTGATACATACCACAAGTTCTTTATTGTGTGTCATAGACATAATGTACCGATTTAAGCATTCTTTTTTCTACCACAAGTTCTTTATTGTGTGTCATAGACATAATGTATGGATTGTACCGATTTAAGCATTCTTTTTTCTATTTAAATAGTGCTGATTTTTAAGATTCCAATTAATATTTGCGTCTATTTCTATTAATCAACTTATATTTCCATTCAAATCAATATACACATGGACGAGATCTAGGAGTTACACTTAATATGACATTAAATATTATAAAAATATTTATACAGAGGATTTTAATAGAAATTTTTAAGCCTAGCCTTAAGCTTTTTGGGCTTTTTTTTCTTTAGGAATGCTCTTCTCGGTTCTTAGTGTTGTCTTCAAGAAATGAGCATTGAATACTTGCTTGAGTGGAGTAAAGCGATTCATATGAATTGAATTTCGTACGGGAGTGTGACAGTTGGAATGTGTTACTTAATTACACTTTATAAATGATGTTTACAACCTGTTAGATAATAATTTGTTGCAGTAGATCGAGTAAATCAAGTGGATGATGATAGGTCAAACTAGATGAGATTAAAGATTTTTAAAGAGGTAATAGTTGGCAACTGCCAAAATCTTAATAAATTATTGAATTGTAATTAATAGGAATGCAATGATAAATTTTCTCTATTATTATAACTATTATAACTAGTCTAAAATAATTTATAAGAAATGGATTTAATGATTTTCTACAACCTGTATTTTAAGACTCTATAACCAGTGTTACATACTTAAAAATTTAGTAAATGAATCTTACTTATATTATCTACAATCGAGTACAGTTAAATTTAGATAATTATTATACGTAAAATAAAATTACATTACAAAATTTACATTATAAGGTATTGAATAAGTAAATTAAATAAAAAATTAAAAATAAATTAATATGAATTTATTGAAATTGGATATTGATCTGAGTTGACCAAAATGTTTAGTATCTATAGAGTCCAAATTTTACAATTTTGGTTCATTTGATCCACACTGTGTAAACTGGTAGTTTACGTCACTTTTATTATAGTATATTTTTCTTCAAAATATTACAGATTCGATATCGGCACAGTTTTCCTTCGCTGCTTTAATTTTTCTCAGTAGAGCTAAAAAATAGTAGCAAATGACCATTTATTTTTTTAAATAATATAGATGCTCTAAGCATTACTTACTTCTTTATTAATAATTTAAAAAACATACAATCATTATTCATACTTTATACATTATTTACTAAGCATTATGAAACATTATGTAAATGACGACGATTCATCGTCATTTGATATGAATATCAGAGTTTGTGACATATCAGCGATTTTAGAATATATTCCTTAAGGTGATGCTTTAAAGTTATTGTACTTTCTCAAGAGATCTAAGCTAGATCTAGGCTGTGAGGCATTCACAATGTTCTTAGCATTTTGATATGAGTTTGATATGTTCTAAACTGATTTAAATCCAAAATTGTCCGGGCTTTTGTATCTGTTTATATAAAAGTAATTTATTATATCTCGACAGATTTGATCCACGTCTATAAACAATTTAATTCCTTTCATTTAATTCAAATTTTAACTTTTCAGTGCAGTTTAGGATCAGGGATTAGCCAAGGTATGCTATAAAAATTAATGAGATTTAGTTCTTTAATAGTTTTATTATAACTAATTTTTTTGCTTATAAAGTTTATTTGTTTAATACAATATTTAATTATGTTCTGCATCTTTCCAAAAAAAACAGATGTGTTTAGAAATTAAGCACTGGTTCCAACTTTAGCCACTAATATATGTGATATAAATTAAGTTGCTAAGTAATTAAAGTTACTATGCCTGTTCCATTGATTATTTTAATACTGACTCGAAAGCTACTGTAGCTGATATTTTTTTATTTCTTATATATAACACTTTTTTTTTATATATAGGTAAATTATAAATAAAATAAAATATTTAAGTATTGCTTTTTGGAATATATAATATATACAATATATCTTTTGGTCACTCTAATAAAAAACAAATGCTCTATGTTACAAGTCTCTTTGTTTAAATTTAACTACTCGTATCACAAGAAATCAGGATATGATACATCCATATCATGGATATGATTATAGCTATTATAGCTATTTGTATTATAGGAATTCTCTCTATATTGACAAACCTTTTAACCAATTTAGCATATCGAATGTCAATAATATAGAATTATTATTTTATATTATATATTACTATATTATATTATTATTATATTATTTATATTATTTTTATGTAAGTTGTAATTTAACGTCAAATTTTTCAAACGGAAGTGACTATTACATTTAATAGAAACTGAGTATATTTCATAACGGGGTATTTCGAACAATAGTGAAAATACAGCAACAAAAATTTATTTTATATTATTTTAATTAATTGAAAGTTTGGCTAACCATACAGCTGCTTCGAGTATTGCCAAATACCCATCATCAGTGATCTTGAATATAATTCTTGTATTCTTGTATTATTCGTAAATAATTTTTTGAGATTGCAAGTACCAGGAATCGAACTCAATTAATTAAAATAATATAATATACATTTTTGTTGTTGTAGTTTCGCTACTGTTCGAAAAACCTTTTCATTATTTTTATATTAAAAATAATAATAAATATTATTTTTATTTAATATTATTTTATATATATGTCAGTAAAAATTACGAGACTCTATTTCACTAATAATTATTTAAATCTTTGTTTAAAATTGTAATCATTTACTGAAAATATAGGGACAAAACTATAAAATAAAATTATTATATTAATTAATTTTATTAGGCTTTAATAAATAAAATATTAAAAATTAAAACATAAAATTGATTTAACCATTTATTTGTTTATTTTATTTAATATTTCTTATTTCATGTTGCCGAATACTTTAAATATTTTGACTTTATGTTTTAATTGTTAATATTTTGTTATTATTATTCTATATTAAATAATATCTAGTAAAAATAATAAGTATTTAATTAATAGTTGTATAAATCTCTGACTAAAATTGTAGTCATTAACTGAAAACGTAGGGATATGAGGTGTGCGCGAATGATCTACAGAAATGTTACGGCATTGGTTAGTTCGAAAACGAAGTATCTATTCACTCCCAGCTCAGGTAAAATTATCTAAGAGCAACTTTTATTGTTTTGCGTATTATCGTGTTTCGGAATTTATCTAATTTATTGTATGGAAAAAAAATCTTTTTTTTGTCATACAAAATTTGTGTGTGCATATATTTTGAGAAATTTTAGTTCTCTCTCGATACCTTCTCAACATTATTGATGGCTTGGATTTGAAATCTTTTGCTCTGCAAATAACCAAAGTGGTTGTAAAAAATGACAGATGTTTGTAAATTGTTTGCTGGAATAGTTGTAAATATAAACTGTTCAGATGTCACATGCACAATTGCACATATGCACATATGCACAAGCCATTTGTGAATGCTCGTATCTATTTTTATATAAAATAAGTAAACAATACAAGCAATATTACCACTCTATTCAAATTTGGATTTGGTAGTAAGAGTTTTGTAGTGAGAACTAAAGTACAAAAAATGGAAAAAATGAAAAAAATGAAAAAAATGAAAAAAATATACATTAAATAACTACCACAAACCAAACAACATGCGCTCAAAGATAAATTATTTATATTAATATTTGGCTTGAAGTTCGTTGTTAGTTGTGTGCGTGAGTATCTGTGTGCTTAGAAGAGCAACTGCAATCGCGTAGATACGGGTTGTTGTTTGGTAGTTTTCATTAGTATATTTCTTTTATATTACGTTCTTATTTATATTTGTTGTTGTTAAGAATGTGAACATATCCAACAGCTGTCCAGATATACTACAAGAGAGAAACAACTAATAATAAGAAGAAGAAAAAATTTAATTCTGCAACGCTGAGCGACGGTTGACAGTACAGTAGAGTAACTCGAATTGGGAAAGCGTACAAGCGGCAAGTACGGGTAAACGGGACCAACTCGCAAGCTTACATCGGCCGCGGTGAATAATTTTTTTTTGTTAGTTCGGTTGGGATTTTGATTCGCCTTAGTTAGATTCCTTTGAGTAATTTTTAATTAATGAATCATAGTTTCGGGGATTGTAACTGAATACGAGATTGAATTTAAAAAATTCACAAGTGTAGTGTGTACGCGTGCGTAATTCCATTAGTAATCCTAAAAGTTTTAGAAAAAGTGGATTAAAAAGCAGCTACTCGGAATATATAAATAATATATTGTACTCTAAATTAATGAAAAATATTTTTAAGTTTTGTTAAATTTGTGCTGTATATGTGAAATAAGTTAAAGTAAATTAAATCAAGTGTTTAATAATAACAGAATAATTAAATTAAAAATATTGCAATTATAAAATATAATAATGTTATGAGAGATAAAAGTGATTTTAACTTCTTTTAAACCGGATTCATCTGTCTCACACATTGAATTGTAACTCTAACTCAGAATTCAACTCAACACAGTGGAAGAAATACTACCTATCTATCTACCTACCTACCAACTGCATTCAATTGAAAAGTGAATAATATAAAGCGATTCGTTGTTTATGAAGTTGGTTATTAATTGTTGGTATTTTAGTTACTAATATTAAAAGTTATGTATTCATTGAATATATAATCGATTTTACAAATATTACCTAAGTGGCCAGGTAAATTATAACAACAGCAATCAAAAAAGCGCTCGGCAAACAGAAATAAACCAGCTAACAACGAGAATTAACACAACTAAGAACAAAGATCAACATACTTGCATAAAAGCGTACATTTTAAATGGTATAAGAAAATGCTGAAAAAATTAGTAATTTATTAAATAAATAAGCGAATTTTCAACTCACACAACAAGAACTCACAATAACAGAAATACAAGAAACAAGAAAATTAATTAAACAGACAGCAGATAGCCGATTCGATTCATAATGCTAAAACAGACCTGTAACATGTAAAACAAGCTTAAAGAAAACAAGTTTTCAATTCTTCGGAATTTTGAGCTTAGTTGGCAGCGCGTATCTGCGCATTCCTGTGTTTCAGTCTCTGTTGGCATGTCGTTGTCTTCTACATTTTTGTCTTGGCATTCACCGTATATTGTATTATCAAAAAGTTGGCCTCACTGTCTCCAAACCAAAATAGGTTCTTGTCAGTAAAATCAACTGTTAATTAATTAGGCAGTAGAGCTTTATTATTAAGACTGAGGTTTTTCACAAAACTGGGCTCATAAAATACTATGCAGACCAACCACTCTGTATGGATTACAAATGTTTTTTGGTTCTGAAGAATTCTACCAAATTCCTGATTTATTCTCTTAATGCGAGAAATCTAATCTTTTTTTACATTCGATAACTTGTCTTGACAGGGAATTTTATAGCTTTAGTTATTTTTTAATTACTTGGATTCTTGATGTTAATGTTCAGCACAGTTAATTTTTCTGATAGCACTCGGTATCATTATAATGACCTACCCAAAGACCCTGTTTTATAAACACAAGTGTGAAAGAAACTTTTGTTTTTGTATATTGTGTATTCATGTTAACTATATACTCAGTTATTCAGTATATATCTGATTTATATATATATATATATATATATACATATAGTATATAGGTAACCATAAAACACTTGTATAATTTTTTAAAAATTGTCTGGTGGAGTCGAACATAATGATCTTAAATTAAACTGATGTTGTGTTTAAAGAATCTGCTCTGCACTTATGAAAATGTTTTATTATTTTATAATAATTAAATATATTTTGTTTTTAAACGTTTTATTCTCTTATTCCAATGTTTCGCAATGAATATGGCAAATTTATGGCTAAATCAATTTATTTAATTAACCGAATTGTTTTTGAGCAACTCAAATAATAATAAAATTTTAAAATTATATTAAAATATAAATGTAATAATTATATTATTTGTATCTTAAAATACAATAATATATTTATAGAATAAAGGTATATAGGTAAAAACTGGTTGGTCGATATTTGATAACCACTAGCAATAGTAGAAGAGAGTCCTCAAACGCATTTACTAACACTGGAAAATAATTCCAAACGATTCCAAACAGAACTATAAAAAGACTTATTTATTAGTAGTAGTCAAAAATAATTTTAGACTCTTCGGAGAGTCTTCGCAGACCCAAACAGAAACATAGGTTTAATACTTAAATATATGTATATATATAAATATATATATAAATATAAATATATATATAAATATAAATATATATATAAATATAAATATATATATAAATATAAATATATATATAAACGATGGTATTAAAACTAACAAATATAGGAAATGTATGGATTCTGTATTTGTTAGAACACCGTCATCTATGATGGTATCAATTAAGTTTAAAGACTATATGTGAACTAATGCACCGTTTTATGATAGCTCAAGAAATTTTAATAATTAAAGATCAATTTTCCTTTAAATTCTACATAAAGCTATAGTAAAACACAATAGGGCATCATGTATAAGGAATCCTTAGAATCATCGTAATGATGGAAAGCTGCAATAGCCTTGTTTATGTTAGCATTAATAAACTAGTCCACGTTTTGTATGTTTTAAATAAAACAATTTAAGAATTTTAACCTATGCATGCTTTAACATGCATGCGTAGATAATATTGTATCTAATATTACCATAATATTAACATATTATATTTAGTGTTGTTGTTGTTAACTAATAATGGTGGTCTAGTTCAGAAAAGTTCATATTGCATACAAGTTTTGCATATTTGTTTGTTTGAAGTTAATTTATTTTCCTTACATTTCACACATAAAATATTGGAAGGGTGTATTAGGTTTGCGGCCATATTTGTGATTCAGAGACGCAGATATTGAAAATCATATAAAAAATATACATTTGTTAAATTAAAGATGATGAAATGATCTCTCTGTATAAGAATCTGTTTCTTTAATACCATATATACTTGACTCTCAGTTATGGAGATAAGCAAAAGGAACTTAGAAAATTAAAGCTTTGTTGGAATGATCAATGTTGAAAATTTATATCCTATATCTGTCATATAATCTGAACAATTAGGACAGATGTTTTCTCATTGCATTTAAAATTTGATACAAGTGATATAAAAAATTTAGGTTCTGATTTCTGTTCTTAAATAAGATATTAAATATTTGGTAATAAATCTGCAACTTAACAATTTTAGTAAATTTAAAAACTTTTTCCATTACAGTTATATATCGATATAGCTTGTTACAAGGTTTTAAAATTATGACACGCCATCTAGCGGCCACTGATAATATAAATTTCGTATTAATTACAAAAACTGTTTTTAGCAACAACTAGGGATGGAAGTGTCGGGTTTCATGTAAAATGTACAACTTCGAAAACAGATATCTTCAATAATACCAGTGTCGATAATAACCGACAAAAGGGCATAATCGACAAAAAAAAAAGCGTATCGAATGTTATCAAAATACGTAATCGAGACGTAAAATCTAAAAATGAAATCGTAATCGAGACGTAAAATCTGAAAAATTGTAGGTAAATGTATTTAATTTTTGACAAATACAAAATTAACTTTTTAACTTCTTTGAGTAGGAAATAAAATGTATTCATTATTGCATTAACTACTTTAATATATATATACCTTTGGAATAGATTTATAAATTCCTTAACCTTTCTGTTTCTTTAAAATTGATAAGCAAATACCGATCGACTTATGGAGCTAACTACAATACATATTTGTATGTTTAAATTCGTTTTTCACATTACTAGTTTTCTCTACTTTTTGAATCACTTTCACATATGTTTTTGGTATTACAACCCGTTTTTTTTCCTCACATACCTATCTAAGTTTCGAGTATTTCACTATGAAAACAATAATAAACTCCACAACAACTAATCATCAATTCTGAATGATCTGAATATAAAAAACAGTTACTGTTTCTAAATATAATTCAACTGTTATTATTAAAACAGTTCAGCACAAAAGATGAACTATGGTCGCAGTACTCCGCTCCGTTGGGATCTGGTACTCCGTTTATTTCTATTAACATAGTTGATATACTCAATTAATTATGTACATATGGTTTTAATAATATGTGTAATATTTGCAATCTATGTAATATTTGCAAGGGAATTGGAATAACATTATGTATGTTATATATATATATATAACCTTTGAATGAATCTGTTATATTAGGTTATTTTCAGAAAATTTGAAATTACTAATTGTTAAAGTGATTAACTAAGATGGAAAAAAATTTTCCACATCTTTTAACTAATTAAAATTAACTGAGCTGGGAAGAAATTTCTCATATGCACGTTATCTTCCCTAAATCGGATTTTATGAATATGATATACATATGAATGCATATTGCACAGAGTTTGCTGGTTTTATTCTTACTTGATTCAACCTTACCTTATCTAGCCTGTGACTGTTGTACATGTATTTCTACATTGTTTCCACAGTTCCACTTGCTAATATATATTATTTCACTTCATTTGACATTTGACGTCACTTATCAGAATGCGACAGTCATCACTTGTTTGCGGCCTTATCCATTATTTGCAGATACTTTCAGCTTTAATTTATGACAGCTTCTATTTTATTTACATTAACGTTAACAGCGGTTTTTATATAAATTAAAATAAATCAACAACCATATCATAACCGTCCTTTTTAAACTTTACGTAACGAACTTACTTCGTAGTAGCAAACTCATTCCAAGTATTTTTAGATGCCTTTAAAAGAGTTTGCTAAATATGAATCAAAATATTTAAATTTAAAATTTTATTTAAATGTTTTTTATATGCGATTATTACACTTTAATTAGAATATAGATCTTTTAGTAATGATCCAAGAAAAATCACAGAATTAAGCTCATTACAGAACTTCGTTTTATAACAACTTTTACATAATAATGAAGACTTATTTTTTTAGAAATAGAAGAAATTTTTGCAAGCTCTAGGTGGTTTATTATTTTCTCATACTAAGTTCACTATCAAATTCTTCAAAATATAAATTTTTTGTTTTAGTAAAAACATGAATCATATTAATTCTGCAATAAATGTTGTGGTGGAAGCCCCGTCTGGGTATAATAGAAATAATCTGAATAATAAATTTAACAGAAATTGCTCATTGTAACAAAAACAAAAAAAAAACTTTTTTCGATAAAAAATTTGCTTTCTTTTTTGGAAAAAAAATTATAAATTCTTATAAACGAGATTCTAACACATCCAGTTAATAATAAAAACTTTAATTGCTTTAATTAATTAGTTAATTTTCGCTTCCAATTATTCGTTTGCTTTTGGCAAAAGAACGTTCCAATATAGACACGCATAGAGTTTTGTTCTTTATTGTATTTCAGTAAAAGACTTCTTTAATTTATTTCATTCATTCAATTCTTCTCTTCCTTAGGATGTTAACGTGAACTGAATTAAATATTCTTACTCAAAATCAATTCAAATAATTAAAATATTCTTTGTGCTTTTAAGGTAAAAGACCGAACTTCTTCGCTCTCCTCACTTTAGGAGAGCGAACCATTGAACTAGTTCATTTAAATGTATTAGAAAGCACAATTGTACTCTATGATTTCCCAAACAATAGCTATTAATGTATTAATTAAACATAAAATTTCTAAAATCACGAAATATTTTTTTCGAATATATACATATATAATAATAAAAAATTTTCGTTTGCCGAAACTTTGCTAGTTATCCATTATAAATCCATTATCTACTGATTATTCAATATTTTCAGATATATTTTTTTTTAATTATCCTTTTATATTCAGTTCAATATAGTTTAATT